AAACATTAAATCTACATATAATTAATAAATAAATTCTTAAACTATAAAAATGATAAAAACCTGTTTATTTCAAAACCTTATAACTTATTTAATTAAAGAGTATATATTTAGGAGTAGAGTGTATTAAAAGGGTTTAGTAAAAGGGTGTGAAGAAACTTTTTTTTTGAAACTTCAAATTGCAATTGAGCAGAAAAGTTGCATAATGATATAAAAAGTAATTGTGTCAATTCTTTCTTTTTTTAATTTTTGACCTTTTTAAGTAGTTAAGGAGAAATCTATAGAAAAATATTGCGTTGACAGTTGTGGACAGGAAAGTCAAGCAATTGCACTCTATTCCTGACCATGTGTTTATTTATTTTTTAGAATAAGTTAACTATGGCCTTTAAGATTTTTAAAAATATTTTGAAAATGTGCCTAGTCTAAGGTAATAATGTGAGAAACTCTAAAGTCTAAGGTATATATGTCATTTAACATAAAGTATATATATATGTCATTAACATAAGGTATATATATCATGATAAAGTCTAAAGTAATAATGTGAGAAATTGCTTTTAAAGATTACATATTTTGAATGACATTTAAGTTATCGAAAGATATTGTTACAAAGGGTATTTCTTACGATGAATGCAAATGTTTTTAAAACAATTTGTGCAATTAATTTAAAAACAACAACAAAAATGATTGTTTTAACAAACTTTTCAATAGATCCATTTATTTAATAGTCAAAAACATAACAAAATTATTTATTTTTTGTTATGCTATGTAAAATTTGTTTACAATAAAGTTGCTTTCAAATAAAGTTTTAAAACCCTATAAAATAAATTATCATAGAATATTAAATAAAACTTTTATTTCAAAAGTTGTTTTTTTTAATGATGAATGTAATGTTTTTTAAACAATTTATGTTCTTAAACAACAACGACAACGAATAAGTTTTAATGAACTTTTTTAAAAATACTTTTTGATAAATTATTAAATAAAGTTATTTTTTTTATTAAATGTAAGTTGTTGTTTTTTTTATTTAAAAGTGCCTAATTTTATAAAAACATTACTAAAGATCAAAGTTTTTTATATATCATATATATCTTTTTCAACTGGTACACCATGTTTTGTTGTTCTCAATGGAAATGAGTATGCAAAATTAATTTTACATTTTTTTTATTTATTTATTTAATTTCATTTTATTTAATAAAGTTTAATTCATTTTCTTTAAATAGTTATTATTATTACATTCTATAAATTTATATTTATATAAATGTACACTAAAAATGTAAATTATTTAGGGTAAATAAGTTATCTTTTTTATTTTCTAATTATTTGTTTGTGTTTCATGTTTGAGTATTTTAATTCAGGCTAATTGGTGATAAGTCTGATCCACCCATAATAACACAAGTATGTTCAACAATTCAACCCACTACAAATGAGCTGTCCATTAACGGGCTCGAAAATATAACACTGGAATTTTCAATAAATGAAAATGAACAAAGTGCTAAACAAGGTTTTGAACAAGGTTTTTCAATTTTAAACTCAAAATTTGTATAAAAATTTTTTAATATCTTTTTATCTTTTTTTTATAATTTTTTTGTCAGAAAAATTGCTCATTGTACTTTTTTATTTTATTTTTTAAGAAAATCATTTAAATGATCTACCATGCCAAACTGAACAACAATGTCCATCAAAAGATGATCAAAAAGCAAGTTTAATAAATGAAGATTGTAATAATGAAACCCAAATTATGAATGAGAGCAAAAGTGTTATAGGTTTTTATTTTTATTAACACCAAGCACAACAAATAGGCCGGATGAGTAAAAATAAGCAATTGCTCACAGGCAATTGCTTTGAGTAAAAGTAAAAACTAAAAAGCAAATGCTCATAGAAAAAACAATTGCTAAAAAATAAGTGAATAAAGTTTTGCTGTTTAAAAATGGCAATTTTTAAACAGCAATTTTTTTTTTGTTACCTACTCAAGGCTGAGAAGGACACTACAGACGAGAAGGCTACTTATTTGTGGTTTTAACCCTCTCTTAACTCTATAACCCCGAAACACAAACCTTGACGAACAAGGCTGCGCATGGAGAAACAAGTTGAGTGCGATACTACCAGGGATGTGGTGGGAATTAATATGTGTATATACATGAAATATATACGCCATATGCATGATGGGGATAGATATATATGTACATGAAATAATATGCCAGTATATATATATATATATATATATATATATATAAATATATATATATATATATATATATATATATATGTATATATCTATACCTTATATATATATATATATATATATATATATATATATATATATATATATATATATATATATATATATATATATATATATATATATATATATATATACATATATATATATATATATATATATATATATATATATATATATATATATATATATATATATATATATATATATATATATATATATATATATATTTATATGTATACCAGTGTATATACATACATGAAAAATATATATATATTTACATATATATATATATATATATATTATATATATATATATATATATATATATATATATATATATATGTAGCACCTGTTCTAGAAAAAAATATTCGGCGGCGATACTCCCTCGTACTGGCAAGTTTTAGTAGAAAATCTGCATTTTTTTTGTGAAAAAATATTTGCCGTAAAAAATGTAAAAAAAAGGTCCTCAAATTTTAATTTGGGTGGCGCCCAAATCAGTGCCCTAATATGATCAACGCTGTCGAAAATGGTCTAGAATAGCCCCTGATATATATATATATATATATATATATATATATATATATATATATATATATATATATATATATATATATATATATATATATATATATATATATATATATATATATATATTTATCTTTTATTTATAGTTCATAATGTTGGTTTAGTATTAAAAGAATTTTAAAAAAATCTTTTTAGATGTTAACTTAAAATTTTTTATATTATTATTTTTTTTATGTTTATGGTTTGGTATATAAAAATACATTATTAAAAAAATAATAATCATAAAAACATTTTTATTTAGACATTTAAAAAAAAAGAAAAAAAGATTTATTAGCTGTTTTCCTAATATAAAAAAAAAACAGTTTGGAACTCGTCAAACCAAAGCGACGAATTATTCAACCTTAAGGTAATTACAAAAAATAATTAAAAAAAATTTTCTAGAACTTTAGTTTTTCAGATTCATATTAGTTGATTTTTTTTTAGAACTATAGGTTTTAATTTTTTTTTTTGTAATTTCTCTTTCGTTAAGATTGTTTCTTTTTTATTTAGTTTAGCCTGTTTATAATTTTTTTTTTTCTTTGTCAATTTTATTCAGCATGTTTTTAACTATCTAAAGAGCCGAGGTCAAGCTTTTAAAAAAAAAAC